TGTGATACTGCGCTGATCCCGCGTGAAGATAGCGATATCATGAGCACAAGCAAGCAGTCTCACTTCCATTGCTTGTAAGTTGAAACCAAGGACGCTATTGTGTCAGAATATTTTCATACACAGTGTTTTCATATAAATGCAAAACAATAGGGGGCTGAGGGGGCAACTGTGGTGAACCGAATGCTGCGCGCTAATGGGAAGCTCAAGTTTCTTATTTACAATCAATCTCGTAGTACAGTTTCTGTACGCCAAAGCCACACCCTCGCAAGTAACCGAACCAAGATTGACATAATTTAAAATGGAAAACAAAATTATATAGTATGCACTGTGGAAAGCCTTTTCTAGATCGCTCTATAATTGATTGATTGATTAATTGATTGATTGATTGATTGATTGATACGTGGGGGTTTAACGTCCCAAAATCACCATATGATTATGAGAGACGCCGCAGTGGAGGGCTCCGGAAAATTGGATCACCTGGGGTTCTTCAACGCGCACCGAAATCTGAGCACACGGGCCTACCGCCTTTTCGCCTCCATCGAAAATACAGCCACCGAAGCCGGTATTCGATTGCGCGACCTGCGGGTCAGCAGCAGAGTACCTTAGACCACCACGACGGGGCTAGTTCGATAAATAGGATTGCAACCCGCTCAAGTGGATAATCACACCACTAAAAAATGATGTGTTCTTTGGGAATGTTGTTAACAATTGATCGCCCTTTAATACCACAAGTTTGATGAGGCCCGATAATGTCCTGGATCACAATCTGGAGTCTTCGAGCTAATACTTTCATACATATTTTGCCTTCTACGTTTGTCAGAGCTATCAGTTGGAGTGCTGTGACATATCTCAGTTTTTCAGCGTCCTCAGTTTTATTACTACAGTATGGGACGACTGATATGACGCAGGCAATGCATTCAATGGAACGGTTAGTATAGGACTTACTTCGTGCTTAAACGTTTTATAAAAATCAGGAGTGAGCCCATCAGAACCATGCGATTTTCCAGGGTGTAACTTTTCTATTGCTTCCTCCATGTCGGCTTGCGTTATTACCTGCTCCAAGTGCCCTTTCCGTTGATCATCGATGCGGGATATAAATGGCAGAAACACGTGCTCGAATTTCGCAAAATCTACGTCACGCAAAGCGAACAATAACCTATAGTGTCCAGTGAACGCCGTTTCGATACTGTTTGTCTCGGTTGATAATGTCCCTGCCCATTCAATTTCATGAATGTGGTTCCTCTCGGCTTGTGCTTTCTCTAAGCATAGCGCGCGTTTTGAGGGCATTTCCCCCACAGCGGAGTGATCCACCCTTGCCCTCACAAGTGCACCACGATAACGCTGTTCGTACAATTGCTCTATTTTTTTTTCACTTTTCTAACGTTTTTTATCCATTTTCTTGGGGCTCCACATGCGTGCTTCGGAGCTTATCAGCAGTGTTTTTAATAATTACGCTTTTTCTTTTTTCTCATAGTACGGTAAACTCGTTAGCCTGTTAGTTACTTTTAACTTTATTGTTTGTTTGTAGAGTTCCCTTTGCTGCGTAATGTCCAGGTTTTTGCTAGAGTCTAACTTGCCAACTTCTCCAATACTTACCTGATGAAAGTTTTGTCCTACAGCAGCTCATTTATTTTTCAGAGATTCCAAGGAATGGCCAATTTTATGAACTGGATCCTTTGCTCAAGCTAAAGCTACCATCACAACTTTCCCGCTCTGATGCGACACTGTTATGCCGCCTTTGGTTGGGTGTTGCATTTACAAAGGTGTACTCCTTTCGCATTGGTATGGCAGACACTCCTACATGCGACTACTGCGGAGGTGAAGAGACCATCGGACACGTCCTGTGCAGCTGCGCTTGCTACGACACACAGCAATGCCAGCTCCGGATGGTGTTGAATCGACTTGACCCCGGACCATTTTGTGTGCAGAAGATACTAGGACCTTGGGCATCTGCCTCAGTTGCGCAGAAAGCGACTAAAGCACTGCTACTTTACTTAAAGTCAGCAAACCTGAGCGACCGCCTGTAGACTGTGTGTGCTCCCCGAGTGTGCTCGTGATTGTGTGTACCTTCTCATCTCTCTGCAACCTCTTTTCTCCCCTTCATCCCTTCCCCAGTGCAGGGTAGCAAACCGGATGTGCGTCTGGTTAACCTCCCTGCCTTTCCTTGCATCTTTATCTCTCCCTCCAAGGAATGGTGTTGTGCTGTTTTGAACTTTAAATAAAGCAATGGGCTCAACCAGCGGTATGAAAAAGAAATGGGCACTACTACATAACTGCAACATTCCGGCAAGATGTCCATAGACACATGAATGTGTTTCAGTCTTACATGACTAAGGCCCTCGAAGCGCGTGCACTTTACTGCACTCGAGCATTGGACACTTTCCGCGATATCCTCAAAATCCAACATTTAAAGACGATAGTCTTTTTTGAATACCTTCGACGAAAAACTTTTGGTCTGTCTGTCTGTCTGTCTGTAAATTTATCTTTTTGTCCACCCTTGACGATACCTCAAATGGCCGACCCCATCCGCAGCGCCAACCAATATTGCTCAAGACCCAGCGTTCATGCTTCTGCGATTGTCAAATAAAAATCAATCATTGCGCATATCTGAGGTACTATAACAACACGTCAATGTTTTGTATGTGTGCCTTTGTACTAGAGAAGGCACACACAAGTAAATCTAAGGACTATAGCGTTAAACACGCTGCGCTGACAGTGCAACGCGGTGCTCAAAAAGGCAAGTTTTACCAATGCTTTCTTAAAACGACACGCTGGTGGCACCTGCCCGTCGCTTTGCGTTCCACACCTTATCACCTCCGAGAATGGCACGCATCTTTCTCCGCAGGCGTGCACGCCTTCCTTCATTTTCGAAAATAACAGCCAGATGGCGCTCGTGTCTAACGTGCCTCGATGCACTCGTTCGCCTCCGCTGCACGCTCCAGGCACTCTAACACAGCGCCTCCAGAATACCATTCACCAATTTTCTTGCGCAGAACAAAGAAATGTTTTTGTTCTTTCTCTCCAGACACAAGACTATCGTCTTTCGACGGCATTTGCAATATAACATGCAGATCCAGGGCCACTTTTTTTCAACAATGCTCGTCAGAATGCTCGTATGCTTTATCCTTAAAAACTTCAGTGCTGGTCTGGTCTTGCGCTCTGATAACGCAGTTAAAAAGCGCCAAAAATTATCAAATGCTTTTCTACAGCGAGTTGGTCTTCTAGGCCCAGACAAAATATAGCTCCTTCTTCAACCTTGTTGGGCGCATAAATGCGCCATAGGGCGTTGTTCAGTGAAAAATCAAGCGCACCACACCGGCTAGCCGCACACCAAAAATGGGTGAGCACCTGAAATTCCCGCAACTTCCTAACAAACAGCATGCAGCCAGCCGATGTTCCCACTGTGGCACTCACAAAAAACTCCGTAGACGAGAAACGTTGACCCATGCTGCTGGTCTCTTCTTCGCCATCTACTTTCGTTTCCTGAACTGCCATGACGTCTATCTGGCGCTTCGTCAAAAGTTGGTAAACCTGACTTTGCTTTCTCTTTACTGCCAATCCTCGAATGTTTATGGTTGCAGCGTTTAACGAATAGACAGGCGTCATTTTGCCGAAAGGAAGAGTCCAGCAGCAGTGGTCCTACCTCTCGTGTCTAGCACGTGGCTAGACGGCTCCTTCACCAGCGCTAACGTCTGACTCCGCAGCTCGAACTTGCCTGACTTGCTTGACGTTGCCGTCGCTCTTGTCGGACAGAGCGTTCGGGCGCGACCGAAAGGAGGACCACCGTACTTGAGCCGTCTTTGCAGGTGGTTCCTCGACGCCAGACACCATCTCCTGAGCATCGTCGTTGCTGGTCGGGGGTGGGAGCGTTTCGACGCCGCGGCGTAATTGGTCGGCGTGTGGCTCATTGTACTTTTAAATGTCGCTAATCATGGTCGCTGGTTGATTATTCGTCGCTGTTCCCTTCGTCCCGGTTAATCCATCCGTGTCACCCGCCACTGCTTTCAGCGCTGCTGTGTCACCTTTAGTAGCGTCACCTCCTGAAGCCAGGGGCGGAACCTGTGTTGCTTGCTGTTTGAACCTGATCCCGCATGAGACAGCTACAATTTGTTGGCCCGCCAGAGCGTCGCGTTTCGGGGCGTAACCTCATTAGGCGCCGACGTATCCAGTGGCCCCTCCTGCTTTTTTGTCTTGTCGTTTCCCCTGGCAGTTTTTTCCGCCTCGGCGACGTCCATAAGTTCGTGCTCGTCCGTCTTTAGAAGAGCGCTCGCCGACGTGTAGGTACGGACGCAAGTCGTGTCCGGGTGTCGATAACGCCGGCACTTCGAACACCGAGACTCCCTGCAGTCTCGGCGCACGTGACCTGTGACATGACAGCGCAGGCACGGCATCGCCCTCCAGGCATCACGACGAGGGCCAACTCGCTGGTTACTCGAACCTGGTGGTCGCCCACCTTGAGTCCTGGTTTCACCTTCAGCATTACGTTATCGTTGTTGACCCTTTTTCTCGCATGCCTTGTTCTCGGGATGCCAGCATTCATGGGTCATCTCGGTGATGATCCCTAGCACTGCGAAAGCGATCCTCATGTACATACATTGCCTATGTGTGGCGTATTGCGGACAGTCACTCATAACGCCGAATTGTTTCTTCGTTGCCATAGTGTTGACAGGTGGTGGTGTTAGCCGTCCCTATACGGAACGAAAACGCATGGGTAAATGTGACGGCCAGCCACAATCTACACAGAACACGCAGACTATATACTATGCGCCGAGCAGTTGCATAGCATATCGCCTTGTAGAATATAGTATATGAAAAAGAAATGAAAGTTAAGAGGACGTATGTGAGGGTGAGGAGGATGGATAGGTCAATTATTTTTTAGGTGGCATTGGGTAGGCCACCCACTCTACCGCATCTTCAGTCTTTGTGCCACTATTGCATAGCAGCCCCGTTCTTTCAGCTTGCGTACAGCAAAACAACTAAGCCAAAATGAACATTCGGGATTTTTTTGCACACAGACAAAATACTTTATTGAGGTCCTGAGCAGCCAACCAGCGCAGTCCAGAAAACGAACAGGTAACGACAACAGGTATGAGGTACATTAAGAGAGTTTCTCGCTTGTACGTATGTAAATTTCATAACCTACAGTGTTCAGGCACGCGGGAAAGCCTGGTGGGCCTGTTGGACTGCTCTGTCGAACAGTGTTTTATAAGGGTTGTACACTGCGGAGATGAGGAAGTCCTTGACCTTTTCCTCAATGATATCTTCGAACTCATCCTCTCTGTCTTCATTTAGGCTCAGATGTTTGTCGTACTTAGTGCTCAGCTTGAGTTTCTCCATAAAGAAAGTCTGCAAGGACGGCGGCCTTGGCGTCAGCGCAGTCACGGCCACCTTTAGCACGGTCTCTCTCTTGAGGGTTACGTTCACCCAGATGGTCTTGATCGTGCCCACGAGGGTATCTCCCTTGGTCTGAGAGAAAGATAAGGGAACGATTAGGTACCATTACATACTGCAGTCAATGTTCGTAGAGCTCCGCTTTACGTACTAATGTTCTTGCTTTTACACAATAAGTAGAGATGTGCTCACCCGACAGATAAAAGCAAAACAGACAAGAACCAATGCCCATCTACATAACACAGAACGAAGTACCAAAAATATGGCGTTTTCTTCGACCTTGTGTGAGTGAGTATTGCTCAAGCGCGACGCCTAGCTTAAAGATCCCAATGTTTACGAATGCGTGAGAAGAATATTGAGTTTTTATATTCATGGGGGAAAGCGCGAGATTTTTCTCAGTCTTGCGAGGACCGGTATCTGCACGTTTGAAGATCACGTCCGTACCTTTTCAATACATTATCCCGTGTATCTGTAGCCTCCCAGTTTTATTTGTCGTATTACAAACTTTCTGAGTTAATAGGACAAGAAAGATGGCCTAAGAACATTGCCGGCTAGATTGTTGGGAGCTCTTCCAACATCTGGGAGCTTTCTTTCTCTTCATTAGAAGGATAGGCAGAACTGCTCTGTCACACTATCTGCTCCAATTAAGCTTTTATCATCATGTCTGCAAACAGTATTTCAAACAACATATCATTGATTTAAGGCCAGTGATATATCATAGATACTGGATACGAAAACCACATACAATTACTTGAAAAATACAAAACCACTCAGCCCGGTTCAATCTGAACAACTACAAAAAAAACTGCGAGTGTTGTTATCATGAAAGCAACCCTTGGCATTCCACCACTATTACACCGCACAAACTTATCTCGCCTACGCCCTCTTTTTTTTTTTAATATAAATCAACAGCCACACTTGTGCTCACATTCTATATTGATTCAGGCGCCACCACGCAATTCATTTTGCATTAACAATCGCCAAGAAATTAATATTATACACAAAAATGCCGTCGGTTCTTCATATTCATTTTTCTCCTTGCGTTAATTATTCACTCATTTCAGCCCTTAGCCGTTTGGGCTGAACTCTGTTAATATTTTATGTGTAACTAAGCTCTGTCACTATCTAACAGTTACTACGATATATCCGTATGATATCTGTAACTTTTGACCATACCTTCATAAATGAATGTTTGTACCATGGATGAATGGATGGATGGATGGATGGATGGATGGATGGATGGATGGATGGATGGATGGACGGACGGACGGATTGATGTACGGATGGATGTATGGATGGACGGGTGGACGCTTGGACGGACGGATGGACGAATGTATGTATGTATGTATGTATGTGTGTATGTATGTATGTATGTATGTATGTATGTATGTATGTATGTATGTATGTATGTATGTATGTATGTATGTATGTATGTATGTATGTATGTATGTATGTATGTACGTACGTACGTATGTATGTATGTATGTATGTATGTATGTATGTATGTATGTATGGAAGGACGGATGGACGGACGGACGGACGGACGGACGGACGGATGGACGGATGGATGGATGGATGGATGGATGGATGGATGGATGGATGGATGGATGGATGGATGGATGGATGGATGGATGTGAAACTATTTGAAGTCCTGAGGTGCACAACTCAACGCGCAGCCTGGGGTATAATAAATAAAAATAACAAAACGTCGGGGTGTTCTGAAGCTACGAACCAAGCGAAGCTTACAGATAATCGAGAGACCAATAGGCTCATGTCTTCATTTAAAAGGTAGCTGGCATTGATGAAAAGCACACAATTAACATAATATAAGCGTTGCATCGGTCGTGCAGCAAGCTCCCATTTAGTTATACTGTAGGCTTCATTTCTAAAATGCAGAGCGTATGCGGCAGAACTTATTACTAACGTGGAGACTTAATCAATAATACACACCGTGGCAGTCAGTGTTGCGCCGATGCCCGTCATGTTGAGCACGCAGTTGACAGTGGTGTTTCCGTCAACCAGAATTGGGTTCTCACAGTTGCCCAGGCGGTGGACACCATTGTCGAAGCCGTGGATCCCTCCTTCAGTAATATTAACTTTCAGGTCACGGTTCGTGATTCCAGTCTTCAGAATCTGGAATAAAAGGCAGCCAATAAATGCGTGAGCAAGCAGGTAATCAGTTACCGAAACTTGCGGAGCCGGTATTCTGGCAGGCGGCAAGAAGTCACATCAAGTTGCAAAAAACATAGCTGCGCTTTGTCGTAAGGCTCGTCACCGAACAAAGCAAACACCGGAAGGAAAATCACAAGTTAGCCTCGTGTCAGCACGCAGTGTAGAGTACGCAGTCTGCTTGAGTGAGGTTTGTTCGGAGCTGTGTTGTAGATGATTTGCTCCGCAAGCTCCACAGTGATAAATTTCAAAACCTTGTGTGTAGAGCATGGAAGCGTGACAGGTTAAAAAAGAAAGAGAGCAAAGCGAAATGCTCATAAAACGATTCGCAAACCTTCACCCTCTTTTTGATTATACATTTCTGGCACGTTTTAGAAAATTTCACTCAACACCACTTTTATCATTATTTATGTATCTATTTGTGAATTGAAATACAAATTCAATATGCAGTGGTGTCTGGTGATGGCTTCATATGTGTAGTGTCTCAGTATTATTCGTTTCTTACAATTACGTCCTCTCTAATATAGCATGAGAATACAACTCATGATTACGGAGTTAGACAAGGACAGCAGAAAGGTGGGTCTTAAAATGAATCTACAGAAAACGAAAGTAATGTACAACAACCTTAGAAAAGAGCCGCGCTTAGATAGGTAATAGTGCACTTCAAGTTGTAAAAGACTATGTCTACTTAGGGCAGGTAATAACCGCGGAGCCGAACCACGCGATTGAAGTAACTAGAAGAATAAGAATGGGGTGGAGCACATTTGGCAAGCACTCTCAAATTATGACAGGTAGATTGCCACTATTCCTCAAGAGGAAGGTATATAACAGCTGTATCTTGCCGGTACTTAGGTACGGAGCAGAAACCTGGAGACTTGCAAAGAGGGTTCAGCTTAAATTGAGGACGATGCAACGAGCAATGGAAAGAAAAATGGTAGGTGTAACCTTAAAAGACAAGAAGAGAGCAGAGTGGATTAGGGAACAAACAGGGGTTAAGGACATCATAGATGAAATCAAGAAGAAGAAATGAACATGGGCCGGGCATGTAGCGCCTAGACAGGATAACCGCTGGTCGTTAAGGGTAACTAACTAGATTCCCAGAGAAGGCAAGCGGGTTGGGGGGAGACAGATGGTTAGGTGGGCAGATGAGATTAAGAAGTTTGCGGGTGTAAATTGGCAGCAACAAGCACAGGACCGGGTTAACTGGCGGAACATGGGAGAGGCCTTTGTCCTGCAGTGGACGTAGTCAGGCTGATGATGATGATATTAATGACAAAGCATGACATCTCTCTTTATATTAGCAACATGACAACAGTATCATGCCGAATTCATGTTTCGTCATGATTAAAGTAAACTTGAAGATACTTTGGCTGAAGGGAGCTGTATGTGAATGGGAAAGAGTCAGTCTGGAAGCTGGCGTCCTTGACAAGGTTGTTTCCCACACAGAAATAGCTTTCTTTTAATGCCTCAGATAGGTCAGTCATTAACAGAGGCAGAAGGAGACAGGGAAAAATAAAAACTCATTCATCACGATACGTAATAGTTTACTCCAGTTCATACACGAATTTCAATATAAAGGAACGATTCCTGTAGGCCATAACCAACCTTGAAATGGAAGTCTGGAATACTAACGAAGGGGTAGAGAACAGGTGTGCTCCTAACGAGGGTTGGCAGGTAGTGATCGAGCACTGTGTCCATGTATGCATTTGCCTCTGCAATCGTCCCTGCTGATGCTGTAAATATGAAAACAAACAAATCAAGCGCCACGTTGGAAGAACGGTGCGCACCATAATGCAGCTGCTGCTCGTCGAGCACCCAAGAAGTATACTCTTTCATTTTAGAAACTCCGATAATATAAAACAATTCAATCGCGACAGTGCTTCCTAATATTGTATGATAAATGAAGTTTTTTTGTCTATGAAATGTACAAGTCTGCATGTCTGTGCGCTGTGGATCGGTTTAGACAGACCTTCATTAATATGTGTGGATATTTCATGCTGCGTCTAGTCCTTAATGATGCACAAGTAGCTTTAATCTCTCCTATCTTCATGCTATTTGACCTGAAGGACATCTTCAAGTCAATAAATAAATAAGTAATCAGTTGATAAGATGATATAATGATGAGGTAAAGGTCAAGAGAATAACTATATTGAAACACGGAATGTCACTGCAGCAATGTTTTAACCTTACGGCTCCGTCGGTCAACAACTGTTGTAATCGCTTCAGTGAAAGAACGCTGTTGCACTGAAGTAGGCTAGTCCTAGGTGTTTGCTGAGATTGCCAAAATTGTGAGGCAACACCTAATCACCTTATAAAATTAAATGTGATTGTAGTGACAAAAAATGGCCTCGGTGACAATGCTTTGCGCCTCAGCGGCATCGCCATCAGCGTGAGCTCGTAATTGATGCGCTTGGCCGGATGCTGCTTACCTCTTTTCGTTCTGCTGTGCTCTCTGTCAAAAAACCCCTTATCAAAGGGTTTATTGCGACTTCATTTGCGGCTTCATCCAAGACCAGATCGCACAAGCTACTTTTCTCGCCCGTGAACCACCACCAGTCGCCGCACCTCTCACGTACGCTTAAGCCACTCTTCTTTATACAATATTATTCAGTTTGTCACACTCAAGAAAAAACACACGTCGTCCAGCGACGTTATCAGTTAAAATTTTGATTAAACCATTCTAACACCGGAGTTTTGAAGATGTTGTGCAAGAGCTAGCGAACATACGACAGGCGCCATTCGCATTACAAGCACTCATATACTAGTCCAATTAATAAAGATTAGGACGCCACATGAGCGGAATGACTCCAGGGTGTCCTAACTAAAGTGATTTATTTACAATGGTGGCCGTCAAGGGTGACCAACACTGTCTGGTGACCGAGTCACAAAGGGCGAAGGCATGATAAACAAACGATAACACGTGCAACACCTAACGAGTGACACGTATAAGTGCCACAATTAAGTTGCAAATAATGCCTGGCAAAAGTACTGCAATGTTAATGACGTCATGTACTTACCACGGCTGAGCACAGTGAGAGTGAAGGCGATAACACAATACTTCTGCATGATTCCGAGCTTCCCCTCAGAGAGTCTGTTGGGAGAAAGATGAAAGGCAGGGAGCTACTATATACTAGAACCAAACTTTTATTTGCTGCCCCGTGCTAGGTTTGAGAAGGGGACAAAAGAGATATGTATAGCACGCATAAATTAGCAGCGATCGTTCGTAGCATGGTACCGAGTCAAGTTTGCAGTTGGGTGGACTTGAAAACAAGTCAGAACTCAAGCCAAAAGTGGCCAAAGCAAGCATGACATTTATTACTATCGTCCAACTTGTAGCCTAACAAAACAGAAGTGGTAAAATGCATGGAGTGATCAGTATTAATCAATAATTGACATTTTGAATTGTCAAGGCCTTAAAATTTTGAGTACAATTTTTTCCACGCTTCTCAGTCTTCAAGCCACAATTAAGTTGCAATTAAATGAACAAAACATAATGAATTTATTGCGTGTGCATAGAGTTTATGTCAAAAAGATAAGTGTTCGTGCCAGTTGCCAAGTAATATTAGAACATTCCAGCCATCAAGTCAGTAGAATTATAAAAGCAATGCAATTTTTTTCTTTATTAGAACATTGAATTTGGTCAATAGAATTTACATATTACAAGTCTAGCCTAAGATAGTAAAATTTAGCTGAAAATGAACACGCTGGCCTCATCGCGTTATGTATTTAGGTTTTTATCTAGTGTAAGCGATAACACACTATGTGCATCAAAATTTCTCGTAGATAATTGCTCGTAACACCAGCACACATGGCGGTCAGAAGGAGCAGCGTCTAGACGCGACTTCGACATTGCACATTCGCAGGTACGCCGTGCATTGCGTAAATGGTATAAATCGATGCGCACTAGCCTGCTGGTGGGTTGAGAATGCACGCTCTCAATGACTGAAACAACAGAAACCTAATGTATTTTATCTCCAAACAATAAAAAAATTATGTCTCTTTAATGCGCGATGTCATAAGTTAGCATAGCCAGAAAAAAAGCGATGGAGCCAACCTGAACTTTTCGTCACCAGACGGGGTCGCAATACAGGCAATTTGGCACAAAATAGCCATAAATATTTGCCCTGATTGTAAATAAAGTTATTCCAAAACTCTTTGCGATCGCACGCTGCAAATAATAATCGCAACAAAGCTTTCGCATGCATTCCTCTTCACATGCTGCGACAACTCGTGGGGTAGGTATTTTGTCGTGATTTATTTTGACTAACAACTGCCTGTCATCCATACGATCGCACGCTGGAGATAGCAGTCATTATTGCAAGCGGCTAAGTAATATTGCGTGCCGCGCCGCGGTGGTCTAGTGGCTAAGGTACTCGGCTGCTGACCAACATGGCGCGGGTTCGAATCCCGGCTGCGGCGGCTGCATTTCCGATGGAGGCGGAAATGTTGTAGGCCCGTGTGCTCAGATTTTGGTGCACGTTAAAGAACCCCAGGTGGTCGAAATTTCCGGAGCCCTCCACTACGGCGTCTCTCATAATCATGAAGTGGTTTTGGGACGTTAAACCCCACATATCAATCATTAAGTAATATTGCGTGTGGGGTTGAATGGCTGATGGTACGTACTGCTGTGAGCATGTGAGCATGAGAGTTACTAGTGCAATATGAAAGGCACCAGATTGGCATCGACAACCAGCTATCGCAACTTTCTAAATATCCACGAAAAGCTGTAAATAACACCCTAAGCATCTGGAAATCGTCCAAGTGTTCGTAATTTTTTTGTAGCCCTCAACAGCCCCCTTTTTTACTCGGAAAGCTTGGTATTTTCTCGACGTTTTTTTTTGTCCATTACGGGTAACCTGTTTGGCTTTATGATAATAACTGTACTCACCGGGATAGCTCAGTGGTTGTAGTGTTAAAATGCTTAGTGTGACAGCGTAAGTTTTTTTCTCAGCAACGCCGAATACACTTAGATGGAGTTGAAGTGCAAAACCACCCTTGCACTTTGATTTGAAAGTATGTTGTAGAACTGCAGTGGATAAAAATTAATCCATCGCACGCTCGCCCCATATTTTTCAGGTTGCGGGCACATAAAGCAACAAAATTTAACTTATGTAAGAGTAACTTTAGTAATTTATATTAAGCAACAAATCCTGAACACATTGAAATATGAATGACAACCGAATCTTTAAAATGTATATACGGTCGGATCTGACATGCTATGAAATTACCTTGTACTTGTGAGATCTACAGATTCCACAACAGCAACAAATCATCACTGCACATGAAATATAAGCAGTGAGACATGGTGTGCAAGAGTACGAGCAGTGATGAGCTCACCTTGTACTCCTATTCGCTTCCCAGTCCTTGCTTCAACTGGCGTCACAAACTTCACTCACTTTGCAGCGTCCGCAAAAGCGAGTTGGTCTCTATCTTGCTTTCATTCCTGTAATCTAAGCCTCCTCCTCCTGGTCGCGTAATCTTCAAGTACAAGGCTGCAAATAGGCGTAACCGAAAACTTCTACTTCTATACGATAGCCCCGTCTAACAGGGCTATCGTGTTTTGACCCAGCAGATATGGGTAGTTGGGGAGAAAAAATGAAGTGACCACATGGCAACTGATTGTCCGCTTTTGGAGTCCTTCTGAGTCGCGACTCGACGAGATGACATGTCTTGTTGTGTCTGCCGTTCTACGACGGCACAGATGCTCCGCAGCCATTCCCAGTAAGTGCACCCTCGGTATCAGATAACACCGCATCCTGCTTGCTGCTTCGTTACAGGCCACCTCAGTCACTCTGTTGTATGCCATGAAGAATGGAAAACAGCACGTGCATTGCCCTTTCCACTATCACCGCACACATGTCACTTGATCATCTTTATGCACACAGAGCGACGGGAACCAATTTTAGTAGGATCAAATGTTTATACTCCTGCGATAGTGTACGTGCGGTTGAACTCTGGACTCACAGCTTTTGCACGCTTCTCCTTATTACTGAATAGCTTATTCTGCATAACAACGAAGCGCTGATCGTTTAGGACACGTATTTTAATCATGATAATTCAAGCCGTTCGTGGTATTTATTATACTGCAATGCCAGGCTAACTAAAAAAAAAGCATCGTACATAGGTAGGTAGTGAGGTTGGCCCTGGTGTCCATCTCGTCTCTAGTAGCTCCAGCACGGTTGACAAGGCCTCGCGCAAGGGAGTGGGTGACCTGGTCAAGGTTGGGGCGAACTTTTACCTCAGACGCCAAGCCTTTTCCCCACCTCACCCCAAGCTCAAACGGGCACAGGCCACCACTTTGCGTGTACTTCAAACAAACACGTATCCCTCACCTGCCCGCTTTCACCTCATACTCCCGGACGTGTACACAACCTCCCACTGCCGGTGCTGCGGCACTCACCCGGCTACGCTTCCGCACATGCTGTGGGAGTGCCCGGCACAGTACAGACACACTAACGCCACGACCCTTTCGTCGAGGCTCCATGAGGCTCTGCGGAGCCCCTCTCTTTACGACCAAACCTGATGACCCAGCACGCCCGTGAGGCAGCGTCGAGACAAACCCTTGACGTCCCCTCATGGGAGGCTTAGGCCCAGCCACCTAAAACTGCTGGTTTCTTATAATAAAGTTTATTCCTCCTCCTACATAGGTAAATTACTTGGCTGTACTTGACTCATCGTCCGTTCCTAAACTGTTTCACAACGCCGAGTACTATTATCTTTCAAAGACGATAGTCTTTCTTGGGGACCTTCGACACGAAAATTTTGGTCTGTCTGTCTGTCTGTCTGTCTGTCTGTCTGTCTGTCTGTCTGTCTGTCTGTCTGTCTGTCTGTCTCTGTCTGTCTGTACGTTTGTCTGTTTGTGCGTCCTTAACAGTACTTCAAACGGCACAAAACAATACCCCAAACAGTAGACCCCAGCCGCAGCGCCCAGCAATGTTGCTTAAAGGGGTCGTGAAAAGCTCGCTCTAAATAGGGAGCCTACATGAACGGCCATTTTTAGGGTGGAGACATCTTAATAAGTGCCTTCAAGAAACTCAGCCAAAACCAGCGGGCAACGGGCCACGCTGTTGCCAGCTTCCACCAAATTCAGCATAGTTTTCTGTGCGCCGCCATTTTGGAGCCAGCCGCCGCTCTCTCCAGCTACGCGAAGTACGGCGCAACAAAAAGGAGCCGACCTACAACGTTCTATCGGCACGTCAACATCGTGTCGACCACTCATCTGGCATCTGACTGCAGATTCATTTGCGACAAACAGCTAGAATTTAATTCAGCTGGACTATTCAGCATTATTGTAGGGAGGCGACCGAGCATGTATACCTACGTACGGCGTCGGTGCCCAGCCCTTGTAACAACACACAACACCTGGGCTTTTGACAGCGGCGGTTCTCAGGGTCGTGTAAGCGACCCAGTTCTCAAAGTGAGCGCACGAAGAAATTGGCAGCCCACACACAAACACTTGCGACATAATACTGAGGTTACGCTGACACGAACGCAAGCGTGGCAACAGCTCAGACTAGCGAGCGCGTCTCCGTACGAACGCGCGGACGCGTCCCGTTTGTGGGCTTCCTACTCGCAATGCGTGGACGCAGCAACGACAACTTCGGTTATCTACTCATTCGCGAACACCGCGAAACACATACACGTGTGCCGCAGGAAAAAACAGTGAACGAAATACGCAGTACTCACACAGCAAATACGAGACGCACTGGTGGGCTCCCAGCCGTCTCGCTTCACTTGAGCCAGCCATAGTTGTCGTCGGCCAGGGCTCGCTGGGAAGCGGAACATTCGCACCCCCTTTCTGTTGTGGTTAGTGCAGAGCGGTACGCAGCATCCAGGCATTCTAAGGCTTCACCGGCAGCGTTTAACACGCTACCGCAACGTTCGACGCCGTATTATTGAGAACTAAACGCAACCGGGCGTAGACGCAGTGCGGGCACCAAGATGGGGCGACAGCGCGGCGTTGCTGTCTGGCAACATTGCGTTTTGGCGGGCGGCGGTGCGTTGGCGGCATGTAGTGGGTCAAAGGCTGACATCACCCTAAAAAATGCCGCCACATCCACGAAGTGAATGATGATGAGTGGGCGAAGCTCCGGAGGTAAACCTGGTAAACCATGAATCCTCCGTACATTTTGCCCACTCGATTTTATTGCAACGCTCCCCCTAGCGTACGTCGCCGCACTATATCGAACGATGACACGCGCCATATGTGGCATCATTCCTATTTTATAACACCTCGCATCTTTCATAATCAACTACACGTACCGCCGTCTAGTTTATAACATCTTGCATCTTTTGGACGGATGGACGGACGGACGGACGGATGGATGGATGGATGGACGTACGGACGGACGGACGGATGGATGGATGGATGGATGGATGGATGGATGGATGGATGGATGGATGGATGGATGGATGAACGGACGGATGGACGGATGAATATGGCTGTACCCTTTAGATCGGGCGGTGGCTAGCGTAATACTTAATGCCGTCAGCTACAAGTACCGCCATCTAGTGAACACTGCAAGAACTGAACGAGAGGTGGCTACATACAGGGGACGCACAGCCCACGCATTAAGGAGCTTCGCTCCTAAAACGGCCGTTCATGTAGGCTCCCTAGCTCTAAAGCGACAATGCGAAGCCACCGGCGTCCACACGCACTCTAACTAGGTGACGTCATCATAAGTAGTTTTTTGCCTATCGATGAACGCGGAACTTTTCGGTACTTGCAAGTACGTGCAACTGGGACGCTCATCAGCATCTTTGTCATACGCAATCAGCGCTAACTTGAACTCTGACGTCATATTAAGCAGCGTCCTTGTGGGACGCGGATCGCGTATGGCAGACGCCGATGAGCGCCTCTTGCGCGTGCTCGATATGCCACAGAGTTCCGCGTTTCTCGATAGGAAAAGTTTCTATGCAGGTCCACTCGGGCTGATGATACAGTTAGCGCATGTGGCTGCCGTTGGAGCCGCATTGTCGTTGTAAAGCGACCATTTCATGACCCCTTTAAGTTTTGGCGTTCATGCTTGTGCGATTGTCAATTAAAACTCGATTATTGCGCATATTTGAGACACCATGACAACACGTCCGTATTCTGTATGTGTGCCTTTATACTAGAAAAGGCATACATAAGTAATTCTGAGGGCCGTAGCGCTTATCACGCTGCGCTGACGATGGAACGCTTGCACGAAAAGACAAGTGTCTCCAACGCTTTGCTAAGACGACACGGTGGCGGCACCTACGGTTGCCTTGCGTTCTATACCTTAAAGGGGCCCTCTAACACTTTCCACGACTTCATAGTTCTACATGTTTTTCTAGCTGGTTGCGTACACTGACGGCTTAAGAGATAAGTGCCGCAAGAACGGCAGCGATAGGGCCACGCAGTGCAAAGCTATTCAGCGTAGATATATCAAAATACAATGAAATGAATGCTTACCCTCTACTCGGGACTCGCTCGCTGGATTCCGTGCCGACTGGTTGTGCCCTCGTGATCTCCGACGTCAGGGTAGCTCTGACCTACTGGACTTGCTCTACGCCATCTCCTGACGCCGACAAGAGCTCTCGCAAGTGGTGCGCCGTCCTCGGACTCCTGTGAAAATGTTTCCATCTTTCCTGTCTCTTCTATCCCCTCGATATGTCCTTGCTCGCTAAATTAGCGCATCTCTCTTTCTCTCTTTCTCTACACCTTTATTCCTATACTTTTAATCCCTCCTCAGCCCCATCCCTTGTGAGCTAGTGTTGAGGTGTCGCACCCTGATGAAGACAGTTACGGGGCTCACTTTTCTCTTCTTTTCCTTCTTCTAAGACTAACCCCCCCCCCCCTACCTTCAACTCGATTTTCGCGGGCTTACCTCACTGTGTTTCCCTCGACCTCTGACGTAAGAAGGCTGCCCAATGAAATGAACTGAAAGCCCTACCGTACAGGAAGCTCGCTTGACATATGGCCTGTTACGTCCAGCGTATTAAGGACGCCGTTTCGATGGTAACAAGCATTGTGGTGCTTGAAGAGCGAACGAAACGTGCGAAACGGGCCAGCTCGCGCACGCTTCTATAATGGTTTGTAGCTTTACTGATCTTTCTTTTTGTAATGACGTATATACCGGGTGTTCAAAATTAAGCTTTATGATTTTTTTAAAATTAGGCGCTCGAAGGCACGTGAGAACCACTTGTGCAAATAAGTTAAGCGGCCAGGGGGACAGAAAGTTAGATGATAATTATCGCTGTCAGCAGCCCAATTAACTAAAATTTAATAATTAACTTTTTACTGGCTGCGGTAAGTTGGCATGTTTATATTGAAAAAATGTAGGCAGTGGTGTTTGTACACAGTTTCAGTTGGAAGATTTTTTCTAGCACGCCTGTGTTCCGAGATATCCGGCTCCAAAGTTTAATTGTCTTTCGCACGATTACGCATGCAAGAGGGTGAGGGTCCGCGCAAAGCTCCTCC